TTTTCACATCACTATGGGTGCATGAGGTCGCGCCTGTACAGACGTCATGCCTGGGTTGAACATTATCTCTCTCAGCAGTTCTCAGGGTTTTGCCACACTTGGACGTGAAATGTCATCTGGTCGTTAAATTGTTTTATAGGCTTTGAGGGGATACCTGTCGCGAGTCATTGAACATACCACGCTGTTCCGTGTCTTGCTCTTCATATGCACGTATGTTGTACTTGCCCTACAACGTTCGTTATATGCCCCTTTGCTCGTAGTCTGCTGTTTGTTTCTGGTCCACTCTTGTGTCTCTGTAACTGCTTGGAGCTAGAAGTAGTGACCCCTATATAGTCTACCTATGCCGAGGCACAACCTCGGGCAACTGGCTGGCCGATCTCGAATTCTCTGATCGGCAAACTGCTCTTAGGCGAGGATTCGGGCAAGGATTCTGAGGTCAAAGCCGAGCACCCACCCGGCCTCTTTGGTCCACTTCCTTACTTCCACCCCAACACCAACGCACTACATGACACTGCACGCAGCATCCTCGACAGAACGATGACAGAGCGATTTGAGGACAGCGCTCCGGACGTCGCGTCGAAGCAGCGGAGGATTCGTCGCACGGCTGCTGATATCGCCAAGAACAAGCGCACTGATGCTGCTGCAATAGCCGAATTCGCTCTCAACCACCGAATTAAAGAGAACAGGCGCTCATCCGATCCGAGCCATACGAAGCGACTCGCCCGGCACATTTCCCAGCTGCGATATGCTCAGACTGATGGCCTAGCGGAACTTCCTCTCGCTGCAGTCGTTGATCTGACTCGGTCTTTCACGCCCTCGGAATGGATGGCCATAGAAAATAGCCCAGATCAGTTCAGGCGTGCGATGGAATTTTACGGAAACCAGGTCCTCGAACTTGATGCCACCTGGATGACGTACTACAGAAATCTCGATCCACGATGTGCCCGACTCTGCCTCTTAGGTATGCTTGCTTTGATCATGTAAATGACATACACTGCTCTTAACACCGGCATAGAAGTAGTTCTTGACGCTTGGAAAGGAGACGTCAGCGCAATTCTCGCTGACATGGTCAAAGTATCAAACAAGACCTCTTTCGATCAAGTGAGGGTTGAGGGACACGATGACTCGTCGCAAAGCACCTCGATACAAGCGACATCACACGCCGGAGCATCAGGGTCCGACAGGCTGATCCAGGTTAGACAAGATATCGCTACTGCGGAGGGCATTCAAGAAGACCAAGACGACCAAGACAACCAAGACGACCATGCTGCGAACGCCCAGCGTGATATCGTCCATCGAGCCGATGCCTTGTGCAGGCAGACGCAACAGGGCAGTCTTCTTCAGCCCAAGGCAACCAGCGGGCCGGACGATGTGATGAATCATGCAGCGGTGCAAGTGGCTTCCAACCATGACGAATACAGGGAGGATGTTGAACAGGCGACGGCGGACAACCTTCGACGTGAGCTAGCGATGCGCGCGATGGCTCAAGGTGACCCCCCTTCCTCGAGAGCACAGTTGGCGAAGAGGCTGCGGGAGACGACGAACCACAGTATCAGGCATCTCCATCGGTCGGCTCTTCATGGGATCGGTATGTTGCCAGGTAACTTGGATCACATATTTCAAGAGTTGCGTACATCATTCCTATCGTCGGATACTTGGGTCCTCGAGCGCATGTTGAGATTGGAATGTTCTACTTGTATATCGGTGGATATAGATACCATCGGCGACTACGAGTTCAAGATCAAGGTGAACAGGTATACTGGATTGGGGATTGTTCAAAGATACTGCTTGCCAACACTTATTAGAGGTCTCGAATAATCACTGTGGCGTCGTACAAATCTATATATTGCCCTTTGACTGCTTGACCACTCCCTGTCTTGTTGTTCTGCCATGCTTGCCATATCGTGTCGTTTTTGTCTCTGATTTGAACACAGCCTTTTAGCGCCTCCACGATAATAGAGCTTGTGACATTGATTCGCTCTATGCGCCAACAGTACTCTTGGCCTCGCTTAAGGTCATCGCTGTCCTTGAACATATTAGTGCGTGCGCGATGAGAAATTCCCTCTCGTGGAGCGTACAATCATGGCTAGAAGGGCTGCTTTTCGTTGAAGGATCAAGCCGAGGGCAGTCAGCGATCCTCAAGAGCACGATGAGCCTCGAGATCGTGATGCCGTTGCAGGCCTCTAGTCGTATTCCAATGCCGTCGGAACAACGTTCTCTCGATGCGGGGTCGGATATACCTCGGCGGCCTGTGGAAAAGTGTGTGTGGTCCGTGCACGAATCAGCTTACATCGCACGTCATCAGGACGGAGGATGACGGCGCTGTCTCCTCATGACATCCCGTACAATGGCTGTCGTGAACAAAAATTGTCAGACGCTTGCAAGCGACAGGGAAGGAATCATCGCCGAGCTTTTGACGCCGCGGCGTCGGCGGCTGCTAAGAATAGTTGTCGGAAGCGGGGTTCAGACTGGCGGGCCCTGCTGGACGTCGGCCTGTGCGGTTCGGGGCCGAATCAAAGAGCATGGAAGTGGGGCCTGCACCGATGGTCACGGCCGGGTGCCGTCCTGGATGCGGGTTCCCGACGCCGGACCCTTGTGCATAGGGTCAAAGACAAAAATAAGTCAGGAGAGGACAAAGGCACCGGTAGGTTTGCCCGTCTACTTATATAAAGCTGGCTGCGATCGCTTCTTTTTCTTCTTCATTCCAAAGACTGCGCTAGGTCCGATACCTTCATCGCGTCTGGTCTTCTGCTTCTCCTGCCTCAGTGTTTTTCTTTTGACAGGTGCTGAAGCATCCGAATTCTCCATCAAGACACGGGTGTTCAGAGATAAGTCATCCACAGAGGGTCACCCGCCATCCCTTGCTCGCGTCCTCCCACGGCACCACCGCTCGGCTACGATGAGCAACGTTACCCTGCTGATGCCGGGGCACGATGGCCGTCTTGAGATTTACAAGTCGCGGCGTGCCCTTATGCGAGGCATCCTTGAAATCCCTGCAGCAGCTGTCTATCATGCGGCACCCGCGGCACCCGCGTCGACAGTTTCACGCGCAGCCGGACCTCTCCCAGCCTTCCATGGTAGAGGCACCAAAGACAGCCTGTTCGATGGCCGATCAAGCTGCCCTGACATGGAACAAGAGCCGTCTACATTGCACCACGCACGAGCTCGTGCCTTGATGCTGGGAGACGGACACTTTCCTCCGGTCACAGAGCTGCCGCTTCCGTCCACTTTGCTGATACAGGGATCGACGGCGCCGCACGGAATGCCGTGGAGAGGCCCCCTACTTGATGGGCGTACACAATGCATGACGGTCGTGGTAGCTGATATCGAGGCGGTGGGGCCTGTACCAAAATTTATGGGCCGCAGACAGCCCCTGGCGTCGTGGTTGAACCACAGCGACGACGACTAGCGGTGCAGCAGAAGCCGTCGTCGTCTAGTGTGGAGTATGATGTTCGTCGAGAGAGCAACATGGATTTGGGTCATTTCTGAATGGGTACACTAGAAGCGTTCATTGTATGTTGGTTCCCGCGTATGTAAACCCGCTATCCACTCATTGTTAATAACAATAAATGCATCACGATCAACAGTCTCCGGTGCCCCCTGGTCCGACGTGCAAAGCGCTCCGCCGTGGCTTGACACAGCGCTGTCCTTTGGAATTCAATGGGATACTTTTGGCAAAATCAGCTCAGATCTGAGACGTTTCAAACGTAGGACTTTCACTGCGCCGCATCACATCGTGCAGCATGGCTCGCGAGCTGTCATTCAGAGACAATGGACTAAGTCTTTCATCTCTGATCGCTCAACCTTGCAGCGTTGAACACCATACTTTCGTAGCCGACTAGTCTTTCCGCTTAGCTCAATCAATCAAAGAGTAACAACAGAGGGCTGTCTGGGGCGTCCAAAACTTTCCCTCTTCGGCGAGACGCGATTGCTGCGTAAGCAAGCGAAGTCTGCTCGATAGAGTATGATAGACGACGCGTGTCGGCGCGCAATAACACATGGTGGCAGGGCTGGCTCTCTAAGGCGATGCTAGCCTCAACAACACCAAAATGTTGAAGATGATGGTTATTTGTGTGGAAGACAATGTGGCCGAAAGGATACATCCAGGGGTCTATGGCGCTCAGCGTGATCGCGTCACAGGCTTGCCAACCAGAAGCGAAACCATCATCATCCGTAGTGGAAGAGAAACGAACAGGGGTCTGGAAACCACCTCCACGACAATGAAGTGTCACTGAAATGGCAGATAATGCGTTGCCGTTGCTGTCGACGACTTGGCAAGTCACCGAAACCATGGCTGGCGGACTGTTGAACAAGAGTTCCATCACTTGGGCGCGCGACATGCTATTCATGTTAAATACGTTGAGAGCTTCGGTACTACACACAGCAGTCTTGTCGCTTTGCAGCGTACTAGGGTGGCATGGCAATGGCCACGCGACAATCAGTTGCCATAACCTTTAATCAAGCGGGGCCCAATATTCAGATCCGAAAGGCCCCCTCTTACTTTACAACATGGGCGCTTGGAGCATGACAGTTAGACTTGAAGCCTTTCTTGTACAGTAATCCGTCACCGGCCAGAGGCAAACGGCCGAAAAGAAGGAGCAGAGACATTCAAATTGTCGTACGACGGGTTCAAAAGTGAAATACGACTATTCGCCATTGTTCAACAGCAGCACGCGGCAAACGACAGTAGTGCAGGCACTGGCTTTCCGTATAGCTTTGAGCTTCTAATTGACCGTGGAACCCATCCTCTCGGCAGCAGCCTGTCTACATTAAAATAGGGCATACACCCTCTCAGTCTAGCATAACGCAAGTGGGCGCCCATGCCTCCTGCGAAACGTTGTTCTAGTGCTAACACGGGCGATAAAAAAAAAGACCTCAGTCCCGACCGGAAGCCTCATAAACTATGTAGGATGCGTTCCAGCTACTCGACGCCAATAAGTTGGCTCGACGAGCGTCACCCATGTATTGGGCGAGTATCCAAAAGTGGGAATAGAGCGCGCGCTTGATGACCACTGATGGGTGCGCAGCAGCACAGTTGTTGTATGTTGATTCCAGCTCCGATTTCAAATTACACATTTGCTGCAGTCTGGCTGAAACCCGGATACGAATGGGGAGGGACAGGGAAAGATTGTTACCCCATGCCGCTGGCTCTGTACAGTACTGTACAGTGTTTCCTGGCGTTCACGGATGTATTTCGAAAGCCGAGATCGGAAAAGGACTGTGTCCACTCTGCCCTCATCGTCTCCCTCGGGTACAAAACCAACAAACTTGATAGTTACCAAGACACGACCGGAGTGCACACATCGCGTATCCTTTCGAAAGCGAGTTTCCTTCCAGTGGCCATGCGTACCGAGCCATCCGTGACAGAAAAGAGCCTTCCGGCCTTGCCATCTAGGGCGAAGCAACAGCACAAGGAGGATGACCGAAGTCGACGAATGCGCGACCTGCACAAGCTGTGGAAACGCCCGCCAGTGACGTTCGCGTCCAGCGAGCCTGCGGAGGAGATTCTTAGCCTCGAAGAAGACCCACCGCAAAAGGCCCAATTGCTACGAAGAGACAATGAGACACTAAGGCAAGAAGTAGCAATGTTACGTGCAGCACAGCGCACCGACAAGAATCGTATCGAAGACCTCGTCCAAGAGCTGGACCGCGCACGTCATGACAATGCGGAACAGAGCCGACGAATTGCAAGAGTGATTAGCGCCGTCAACAAGGCATTTTCGGAATACAAAAAGTGGATGCGAAAGTCGCTGGAGATGGAGTCGGCAGAGATATCGTCGTTGTCCAGTGGCGATTCACAGGGCATGATTCCCATAGGCCGAAGTGCCTTCTCCGATGATGATGACGATAGTCTGTATAGTTCTTGCATCTAGTGCTATGACGAAGACGAGTAGCTCACTGGAGACGGGGCCGGGGGAGAGGGGTTCTCTGATGGAGCGAAGGAAGCAGCTTCTTGACTTTGCAGCGTTGTGGGGGTTCTAGGCTTTAGAAGCTGAGTCTAGAGACGTTGGAGCGGCTAGTTCGATTATTTTGAAAAGAATAGCTTTGTTAATGTTGCTCTGGGATTATCCTTTCACAACAGCAGCAGGGATGCCTGATGAGAACATGACTTAGCATCGAGGACTTGAAAAATTGGTGTTGAGGGCAGATCATCAACCCCCAGCAGCTATCGCAGTTGGGGCAGTGTCGACCGGGTCGACATGCGCAAATGACAATCCGGCAAGTCGATGTACAATGGTGATGGTATTTGGTCGCCGCCTAGACATGATCCAGGTTCAAGGGACTAGATCAGAGGTCATTGGACAGAAACGATGCTTGGTGGAAGAGATGGCAAGGTTGACAAAGCAAATGAAGAGGCGCCCGTGCCCGTGAAGGCATGGTTTAAAACCGCAATGGATGTTAAGATGGATCCAAGACGGCACTCCCGGGCGCCCTGAGTTGCCTCGGCGCGTAAGTTGCTCCCTTAATTTTGAATCGAACGCAGGCGCTGACTGGTGACTGTGAAGTCGGAAATGGCGTCAAGCTTGAAGCTAACCAACAGCTACTCGAGATAATTGGGCAGTAATGACCGGCGGTGGCCTGAACATCCGTCTGGCCAGTCCCGTGCACCCGGCCTCCTAAGCAAAACGCCGTGTTGCCGCGCCCGCAGCCCCACTCACCTGTTTCGGCGGCTGGATCTGAAATTGCAAAAGGCGGAGACCGGATCTGAACACTCCGAGTGAAGTGTATGACTGCTGTCTTTTCCGCCTCGGATATCGCGCTGCTTCCCCTCTCCCAGTCCATTGCTTTCTCGATGATCGCATTGATCCCTTCGGAATTGCCCTCCGCGGTTGGACCAGCGACCCATGCGGTAAAGTCATCGACGAAGGCTATGAGCCCCAACGCAGCAGTCAATCTTCCGCTGTACGAGATCCGCATTGAAGAACAGGAACAGAATCAGTGACACTAGCGATTCTTGCGGTATTCCGGTTTGTGAGGCAAATCCCGGACCTCTGACGTTTGCCCTTTTGGCCTGAAATGTCGCTGTCCGATCCGAGCAGAACGCCTCTACCTAAGTCAGTCAGTCTTCTGGGATACCCCTCGCCCTCATTCTCTGGATCAGTCTCTCTTTGAATAATAGGTTGTACGCACCCTTCGCATCAAAGCTGACGAGGCTGACCACCCAACAATCTCTCCATGCCAGTATCCGGCTTATTCTGAGCTGCTGGTGGTGTATGATGACGCCGAGGATCTTGACGTGTTGTTTGGGCTCGACTGCATGCCCCTTGATTGTGAAGGGTTCCGAATCGGATTCCAGACAGACAGCTAGTGCATGGACAAACTACTCTTAGATCGACCCTTCTGTCCGGAGATAATAGCGCTAAAAACCGCGTCTGTCGGATATTACAATATTCTCCGCTGGGGTGGTGAAGAGCCACGATGAACGGGACCAGCCCGTCCTCATTTGGGATGGGGAGAAGAAGGCTGGAATCAACCCCGGTTGTTTCTCACATGAATCCATTTTTGGGCTCAGCGGAGCGAGCATGTGGAATGGTTCACAACTTAGTCACAACTTCCTAGCCAGTAGATCAGATCATGCGATGAGCTGTTCCCAAATTCCTTGCCTTTCATTAACGCACTCAGACTACAGGGCGGGCTCCTTGCTTAGTAGATAAAGGACGACCCGTCAGTAGATACACTGGCAGTACTTGCGTTTTCACAGTCCACTGGTACATTCTCCGCCCAAGAAGTTACTTTATCTCTCGTCAGTTTGGGTCGCCGCGGGCTTTCATCGCCTACTGTGGTCAGTCCTGAGTTGCCTGGAGCAACAAAGCAACTGAAGCCCTCTTCCACCTGGTTACGACACCAGCGAAACATTTCTTCCGTAGCTTGCTTTGAAACATTGGTCTGAATAGCCGCGTCATTATCAGCGAAATGCGCCTGCTCAAAGATGGCCGGCTCTGACACTGAAGGTTGAGGGATTTGATCTTCCTTGAAGAAGTGGGATAAAGAAATGCCATGAGACCAGGACCAATTGCTCAATTTCCATCGATGGGAGCAGTTGAGGTGTCCTCTCAGCTGTAAGTCGACATCTTCAACCCTCATGTTGCCGAAAGGTTGCCAACCGTTTGGAGGTGGCAGTGAGTAATCGTCATCGTCATCTGCGTATTCTTGGTCGCAGTCGAATCGAAGTCGCCACACATCGGCCCGGGATACCATGCCGTTCTTCACATAGGGATCGTTGGCTCTTAAATCTAGGAAAGACTGCGCCGTGCTGGTCCATCTACCCATGTCTGCGTTTGGCCACGGCTTCCAGTAGAGATCATCGAGCGACTGAGAAAAGCGATTGAGAGTTACAGTCTGACCACAAAGCGTGATACCGAGCCACAACGGGGCAAGCTTCGTAAAAGAAAGGGCCTTGGCGAAGAGTTCCAATCGTTGTTCTTGAATCAGAGGCTTTAGTACAGCTCGCATTCCACCCACCCAAGCCCCTGCGTGATTACAGGTGATGCCATGTTCCCAAAGGATGGTATACAGGCAACAACCGATTTTTTTCGATGTGCTAAGCGTCATGTAGTAATCGAGATGCTCGAAGTCTTGTGGAAGGTTGACTAGATTTGATGTCGTTGCTAGGTTTGTTGCTTCTAAAGATGGTTCCGGGAATTCGATGACGCTGGGCCCTTTGGGACCCGTTCGATGAATAGGAAGGCAAATGACTGATGCCAGTGCAGCCGATGATTGCGTTCCCAGCTTGTAGGCACGAGAAAGCCGTTCGATATATTGTGCTGCCTCTACCGAAGTGGGCGGATGCGGATATCCAATAGCTGAGGTGTCACCAGTGACTCCAAATTCAAGGTCATCGGTGTGCAGGGCCCATGGCATGATGGATCCATCAGTCATCCTCCAATGGATACCATGCGAAAGAAGCGCCTTCCACCATAGTAGTTCTTGCCGGTCGATATCGCCTAGATCAAGCATGATTCGTCGGGCTGTGGAAGGCGCGATCGGTGTGTCGAAGTATTCCAGCTCAAGTCCCTGCCTTTCTGCGAGACTGACAGTTAATACATATGCCCAAGCCACGATGAACAATGCAATTCCGTTGTTGGATGACTCGTCCCAGCGACGGAAGTTCTCCGAGGTTGACAAGATACAGCGGAGGGGATATCGCGACCTGAGTTGGCATTCGAGCGGTTTGCCAGTCTTTGCGCGGAGACTGCAATCAGTATCAAGATTATCCCAGGTCGAGCACCCGGCAATTGATTTCAAATGTCTAGGGATGCTCCTTGGTAGAGCCGGTATTGTACCAAGGACGCTGACGAGGTTCGTGCACTCCGTAGGGATAGAGTGGCAGGACGCAGCAGCATCAACTGCTGCGTGCCATCGAATTAGGCTCCTCCGAAGTATTTTTTGGGCTTCCGGTCCATCGTAGAGTGAATTTTCGGTCATCTTCCTCGTCAGGGTGTATATCAAAATCTGGGTCGCTTAAGTGGAGTGCAAATGTGGGTTATGTGGTGAAATGAACAGGCTGGTCGACCTATCTTATACTTTGGGTAACCCGTGGGGTGGGATTGCCCCGCACTTGGCATTAATCAATTGGGTACAGGATACAGAGCCAGGGATAAACGATTCTCGTCTAAATGAATGTCTTCATTGAATTTATCATCATGTTGCCTTCTTCTTCCCATGTTTCTTATCGTCCTTGCTTGAGGTCCCACCTTGGGTCTCTGTTGGGACCCAGTTGTACGTGTAAAAGGTTCGTTGCATCGCTTCGCTAACGAGGACGTAGTAAGACTGGCCCTCCTCGTCAACCTCACATTCCCATGAATCATATGAGCTTTTCTTTCGTTTTCCGTCGCAAACGAACCGGATATATTTTCCGTCGAACCACGGTCCGAAGCGCTAATCTCCCACCCTGGTCGCCGAGCATGAAACCCCTCTCTGTTTCTCCTTCCTCTTAGAGGTATGAAGTACGAGCGAATGACGATGCATTGTTAGTCTTTGACATCAATGTCTTTAAGGTAGTATAGATGTGTCCATGTCACCCAACCTGCAACTTGACCTTTGTACTCGAGCTGACAGCAAGGGCACCGGCACTTAAAATACCGAAGGTGAGTTACTGCTGTAGGGAACGGAGAAACTGAAATATTGGCCCAGGCTGAGAAGACAGCGTCTTTGGCTTCTCAGGATGATTGAGGCCTCTTCTACTTGAAACAGACAGGCCTAGTGTTTGCTGAGCTGTCTGTTAGATCCCTTCGCCATCGGTGACCTGGAACAACACCTAGACGTAATGTTCTAGATGTATGTCCTGGAAATATCGGCAGAGTCCAAACTCGCTGTCTGTCTTTCACGTCTATTGACACGGCTTGTTTTTCAGAAGGCCAGCCTTGGTATCCTGGGTAGTGGGCGAGTTGGTCGTTGCTATGCATCCGCAGCCAGGATTCTTGACGGCCAACCTTTCATTTTGACGTCTCGCGGGTCCAATCAATCAAGAACCGGGCTCAAGGAGGACAGCTATGGCGGCGAGATCTCAGCTCACGTGCCAGAACTTTGTTACATCCCGAGGTCCCATGCCGTTCATGGGTACTTAAAGCCCCTGGTCTCCCTCCTCTCTTGCCGTCGCCTCTCTTCTTTCTTCTCAATCTTCTGCCTTCATCTCCCCTCCCATCCACTCTCAAAGCAAGCATGGCAATTCTTAAGTCTTTTCGAGTGATCTCTCCCATCTCTGCCCCACCTTCGACAGAAATCATCTACATCAGCGACGACAGCGACAGTGACGACGATGACGCTGGTCACAGCAGCGATGAGTGCGAGTTCGAGGACGTTTTTCGACGTAGTGTTGACAGGCGCGGCGAGCACAAAGCCAGCGACAAGGAATTCGGCGATGCCGAGATCGGATACGAAGAAAGAAGTAACAATGAGAATGAGGATGTCAAAATCGACTCCGAACAAAGTGATCGCCCCTTCTCACCTGGAAATGCGGTCGATTGCGGGACGAATGATGAATGCGACGTCACTGAAACCGTCCTGCTCAACGAGCCTTGTGATGAGGAAGTGGTTGACCGGAACCTCAACGACACCCGAGTACAAGCAGACGAAGAGCTCAAACCCGTTGATGCGAGCACGGACAATGAGGCCATCAGCATCAATCTGAACAACAATCTTGGAACTCATCATGCCGGCGATACTATCACAGTCCCTGACTACGACAGAGAAGACGTTATCGCCGAGATTGCTGCACTTCGCGAACAACTTACTAGACTTGAGGCTCGGATTGATTCGAAGACTGTCGCATTGCCAGGCATGAGCCCACCAAGAAAACGCAAGCGGATCGCCTCGACAGTTTCCTATTTGAAGAAGCCGAAGATCGCCCACTCAGTCAATATCTCGGCAACTAGAGTCTGCTTGCAGTCGGATAGTGGTTCGGAAAGCCGGGTATACTCTTGGCAACGTGGGCGCGGCGGCCGCTGTTGGGTCAGGGACGAAGGGGCGGGGAGAAGGGACGAGGAGGACGGAGAATATCTGCTGTGTTTTGGCTCTAACATATCCATTGACGTTCGAGTGAACGCTGATTGGCTGCCAATCACAGTGCGTTTGAACGTACAAAAGAACGTGTTTGAGGGTTTTGAGAGTATAGGCGGACGGAGGCTTGAAGTAAAGGATACAGTGATGATACAGCTCATGCGTGATGGCCGTGGTGAGCATTTTGGTATGGTCTCATAGTTGCGAATATCGAACTGTCACTTAGAACGCCTGTGGCAGTGTAGACTTACCATCACATACGGTTCTCATGCGCTATGTAAGACACTTAGCTGTGCTGTGGGTGGCAGGACAACAGGCAGGTTCCGTTCAATCCTGTGAGCTTGACTTCATCCGTGATCACGGATTTCCGAATGGCAGGTACTATGGCCTGAAGAGTTGAATGTTGTTGATAAAAGAGTAGCGGCGGTACTAGAGGAACAAATAAGGCTATGGCGGCATCGGACCGGAAGCTTACCGCTCCATCCAAAAAACGCTACTGCCTCACTCGCCAGACGAGTCAGAGAGAACAGAGGTAGAGGGTTCCTTGGATCAGGTTCCGCATGCCACCTTTCAGCCTGTCGATGGATTTGGTATGAGCTGCCAGAGATTCTTGCTTGTCCTTGGTCTGACTTCGACGTATGGCTTTGGTCGGTGGCGTGACTCGTCTTGGCATTTTGATGAGAGGACACGGTATTCTCAGTATTTTCATAGCCCTTCCAAATATTAAGACCAGCCTGTTGTGGAATTTCCTCAGTGCTGACACGGCTTGGGAGAGGTTTGTTGGTGCGGGGAGCAGCGGATGGCGCAGCGGACGTCGGATTATTGCACCGCGTTATTGGCTGGTCTCTACCCTTGAGATGGGACAGTCCACACCAACAACAAATGTCCTTGGCCTCGTGGCAAGCTGTTCAGCCTCTGTCTTGCCATGACTAGGTTCGCTTCAGTGTTCTGTAGCGGTATGATGTAGGAGTAGAGCTGTATATAGTTGAGGTTTTCGGGCCCTAACAAAATGACCGAGGTTCTCGGACGTTAACCTCCCGATAAGTGCCCCGATGCGGTAAGTAGCCAGGGCGGGGCAACCCGCTGCGAATATAATTGCGACCTACCCGCAGTCAGCATGGATACATGAAGTATAGATTACGCTGGGAACTGTACTTGAACTCTAGTTTTCAATGGTCGCATTCTTTTTTTCGTTTGCGGCAAGCCAGGCAGCCTTTTCGAGTACGGTGGCTGTAATTACGCTATGGTACATTACCATCAGAATGCTGAGAATGCATGCGGACCCTGCGGAGCTATAAGGCTCATAGCTCGACAAAGGATTGGTTAGGCCCGCTGGGCCTGAGCTCTGCAATGTCGGAGACGGTGGCCTAGGAGGAGAAGCCACTTCAAGCTTAGGACTGGGACAGCGACAACCACTTGCGCTAGATCCGATGCCGGAGACTCCTCCTTCCGAAGTCACAGGCCCTTTGGTACCTGTGTACCTTTCTCTCATAGTAGTTAGAGCAGTCGAGGGCCTTGATGCACCGCCGAAACCAGGAGCAAGAGAGTTCTTGAAGTTATTTTCGAAAGGGTACCGCATGTTGTTGCCAGACGGGCACGGAAATATTTCTGGCGGTAATGATGGAGCCGCACTTGTTTCAACGTGCGCTGCGATAGTCCCGGATGGTGGTGTTGCGGATCACGGTACTCAGGCCTGATCTGGTCTTCTCACAGAGTGCCTAGGGCTACGAGCTGTACCCGCCTCCACTGACATGAAATCAGATGCGACGGCTATTTTCCAGGATACTACATCGAAAATACGTGGATTGGGTGAGAGCATGGGGTCTGCATCGCCTGCGATCAGCAGTGAACCAAAAAGTTAGCCGCGCCCCGATCAGAAGAAGGCCGACTAATATAAGTAGGTACTTTTCCCCTCCTTATTGTTTGAGATAGGGACAATGAAAAAATATCATCAGAAAAAGACTATGTGCCTTACTTACCGGTTGACCAATGTTTTGGGCTCGGGCCTCGACAGGTTTCTTCGAAGTTGTGATACGGTAGTCGAGGGCGAGTTTTGGCAATTAGAAAGCCCTCGTCCCCTGACCTCTTGTATCTCGGCATTTTTGGCAGCGCTTTCCCCTCTCATGGCATCTGGATTCGGCTTCTGTCCGGCAATGGCAGAATTGATTAGGTCCATCGCATACCTCGTCCTGGTAAATTCGCGTGCATGAGGCTTTGTGACAGCCTCGGCCTTTTTCAACCGATTTTGGACTATGAGATGGGGCATATGATCGATAACCGTTGTCTAATTGTGATCAGCGCGTATATGGATGCGCGTAGCTACGGCACCTACCCACAGATGAATCTGTTGAGACTGTAGACCCATCGTCACGACCCCTCTTTGCTTTCATCCTGTCTTCCACTGTGGCTGGAAATTTTGATGCAGCATTGTCACCAGAGATAGGAGTATCGTCGGCACCGTACTTGCTGAATACTCGTATCTTGCTAGCAAGGCGCCACGAGCAAAAACCCAAAGACAAAAGCTAAATGTTATCCCCACGTCGCGCTAGATACTCGCCATCCTGGAACCATAGCACTGAGAATTTTTGTTTCGTGACCTGAGGACCACCGTCTTCATATCCCTCCTTCCACCCACGAATTTGGTTCCGCCCGCTCCTCTACACACAGGGATATACCCACTTGCTAGGCCCGTGTCGGCGAGAGAGTCAGTCAGTCCTACCACTTTGGAGTCACCAAGAGGTAGCACAAGGATAGCGTACCAAGCAGATCGCTTGGAAGCTGACTGAGAGCTCCATAGTCCAAGGTGCAATCTGGGCACGACGGGGTCGGCAATGCCTTTAAGAGAGCCCTTCTGTGCACTGTCCTGAGGCTCGGCGTCAGGAAGGCTTGCGCACTGTTGGGCCGACAGACCCCCTAGTCGTAACGTTCTTGTCCTCCCCTGTAGGGTGGCGTAGTGTTGTTGTGTCGGCCCTAGTGTACGCCATCCTTGCTGAGGTGTCAACGTCATTGACGCAAGGCTAGGTCCTCATTCATGACGGCGAGTAGCGAGGATGAAGCATCAGAAGAATGGCGACGTCGACTGTTGCCGTGTCGTGTCGATCGGCGGACATCCGTGCCACCGGTGCGCGGCTGTTCGGATTGCGGTCGGCAGCTTGTAACATCATTGTTGCGAGACTCGACAACTGCAGCTTCTCCCTGGATTGCCGGTTCTTGCCTCGGTTTGCATCGCAGCGCCTTGTCTCGCCCAAAAAAGCGTTTTCTTTCACCATCGCAATCCACCGTTCCTTGGGAATCTGTCCTGGGCCGTGCCAACCCTACTGACGAAAGCCCGGTTCAGCCCAAGAGATCTGATACCTGTGCTATCTGAAGGAGGCAAGACAGCTTGAAGCTTCGAAACCGATATTGGCCGATATTCAAACGGCGTCCCAGAAGCAGGGGCTTCACCACTGGTAAAGTCAGCAGTACGGAGATTTGCTAGGGTGTGTTAAACTAGCATGATATATGACTCCCAGCCCGAAAGGGATCGAGCGGGAATGTACTCATAATCTGCAATATCTGGCGCTAATACACTGTCGTCTAAGCTGGTTGACAGGGGGAGCAAAGAGCAGTCCGGAACGGAGTCACCAGCAATTATCTGCTGCGAGGCTGTGAAACCAATCGACTCGGCGGGGTCTGAGGGTCCAATACGATTTGAGGATAACGTCTTCCCAGCAATTATTGCCAGCAATGCTACGTCAGCCTTGGCTTGAGCAAAGTAAACTAGCATGGTCAGATCAATAGCAAAACGGCGCAAGACGCTCCGATGTTCAATCTGCGATAATATGTTCTCCGCAGGCGTCGTCTGTAGAATAGCTGCGGGGGTTGTGGTAGATCTGTGATTCCGTCAGTTTGGTCACCACACCGGGAGACCTCCCACGGCATACAGCGAAGTCGCACAGAAGGCTCATCAGGTGGGCTGTCGGCTGCCAATTCATTACATCTTCTTTTCACAAATCCGGTCCACTTCAATACGCGGAGGGAACAAGCTGATCCGCACTCAATCATTGCTTTGCCTCTGATCCTCACTCACTAGCATCGAACCAAGCAAGACCCTGCAAAGAAAGCTCATTGAAATGCAGACATGCTCAGAGCCAGTTTGGGCGCTCACAGTGGTTAGTTAAAAAGCCAGGTCATTAGCATGCCACTCTACACGATGCCGGCGCACTCGGACACTCAGGCGCGAGGCAACAGATGAAACATGTGTACCGGACTAGGAACTATCCCAGACGCAAGTAAAAGGACCAAAACAGCGACGCTGAACGGTGGCGTTGCTATTCCTTCTTCCTTATCATGAAGCCTCAATCTTTCACGACCCGCATCCCAGATCAGTGTGCGGATATCATCGAAATCACGAGAGCCTCCAAAGTTGAAGGCCATGCGTAGACCAGACAAAAGACAACCACGGAACATCGCATTCATCTAGCTTTGACTACGTGCTGCACTTGGTAATAAGAGTTGGAATCGATGGGTCTCATTGGATACCAATACAACTGATTCAGTCGCTCTAGCTCGCTGAGCTTGGACGGTGGTGCGGACGAAAGAACGAAAAGCCGCTGCAGCGAGCGGCAAGTTTCACTTGTATGCTTCTAGTCTTGACTAGAAGTTTTAGTACTCTTTGACCTTTTAAATCGGCGGTGGGTAAATAGTTGTATTCAGGATCTTCCATCCGCGCCGGCAGCTCCCATCTGAATTGCCCTTCTTCTATTCTTTTGCCGGCTCGGAGACATTCCTTTAGCCACTCGTGACTGACGATGTGGACGCTTTTCCAATCTCTGTGGGAAATGTACGTCGCAAAGCCTTCTTCATTAGAGAGTTCACTCTGCGAAGTCACTATGTGCAGGAGTTCCGGCTTGTTATACTCAAAAATACATTCGCTGTGAGGCTCTTCGATACGCGGTTTGATGGTACAGAAACCGGTCCACTTAGATGGCTCTAGATACTTGCTTGTGAAGGGATTAGAGCATCCAATCAAAGCGTGAAAGCGTTTCATGGCTTTAGTTTGAGTCGGGGTTTCGTACGCCTGTTCAACGAAGGACAAGCCACAACTGGTGACGAGGCCGATGAGGTCCTCAGTAAACACTTTTTGGGAGGATGTCTCGCCCATTGGAATTCAATTCCGGAGTTGCGAATGTCAACAGCGTTTCTGCTCCGTCCTGGCTTTG